TATTATAACAATTTCAAAATTTAGCCAACATCATAATCATTGATTAAAAAAACCAAGGAAACCCAAGAGTAGACATTTCAGAAACAACCTGCCCACATTCTTCTTGAAAGTGAACATCTCTGCACTGTGAGTAGCAATCACCAACTAATGAATTCAGTGAATGTAAATGGTATTAACCAAATTTGACGAAGCACAAAATGAATGCGTGGACGTGCATCTTCAGGAAACTGGGGCTCTTGTGATCGCCCTTTAGCCATGGTAACGAAGAATCCTACAACACACTGAATTTTTTTTCTACAAACTAAACAAACCTAACAAACCTAACAAATAACATGCAAAAGTAGTACCTTTTGCCAAAAGTTCAATGATATTTGGTGTAGGTTACCCTACTTTAAGAAAAGTAAACACTTTAATTAAATCAAGTAGAGGAATATATTGAGATTGGAATGGAAGTAGGAGAGTTGATACATTTTCAACCAAGAGAAGTGGTGAGGAGTCAAGTTGTCCATTGTTAGTGGTGATAACTTGTGTACCAAACATCTTCATTTTCCTAAACATTCGAATGATGCTAAGTCGTTTAACATAGGCCACTTTTTGGTATGCTTACTACTCGAGTTCCGGTGGACTTCAAAGCACAAAGGATCAGCTGATCGAACTCGAAGGTGAAAGTCATTTCTGATTCCGATCCTAATTTCCTCTAGTCTGGAAACAATCTCCTCCACTCCACGGCAAGCTATTGCTACATCACTAAGTCGTGGAAGGTCTCAATTCTTCAGGCTGGAATTCCCTATAGGATCGTTTTTCCATATATATTTCAATTTTGATAAATTGGTAATGGCTCGATATCGAAATCTCTTCGTTGAGCGCTTACGGGTAAAGAAGTTGTTTCTTTTTCTCCATGCATGTTTAAACTTTCCACTTCGGTTTCAAATACTTGTTGTAAAGAACCACTAGGCTTTGTGGTTAGAGTTTGCAGCCCTTGAGTTTTCGGAATATTAGAAAGAATATATATATATATATATATGGGTGGAAAATGAAAGAACTTTAAGCTAGGCTCTCCTTATGCACTGAACCTCCAAAGAGAGTCAAGATGGAAGCTAACCTAGCATCGGATGTCTAATAGTAACATAGATGAAAGGATACTGCTATACACTTTGTGCCTGGACTCTTTTATCTTTTATTTATCTAACAACAAAACTGTCTTAGCAAATAGCCCGTCTAGCTCAGTTGGTAGAGCGCAAGGCTCTTAACTTTGTGGTCGTGGGTTCGAGCCCCACGGTGGGCGATTATTTTAATTTTTTTGAAAAAGCCACAGAACTCAAGTACTTTTTGCAGTAGCTGAACTGGAGGAGTTGTGGCATCGTATCTAAGATCCAACTTGAAGTGACCATCTTAAGAACGAGTGGTAAAGTTTTAATAAAGTTTCTACAATTACATAGAGAATCTGGTCTGGTTTTCCAATGGTCAAGCTTTAACTTTTCGATGGATTAGGAACGTAGCAAGGGGTAAATTATGTTGATATTTGTGGCTTAAATATACAAGGAAGGGCTAAACCACTTGCCTAAAACATATTCCTCACTTAATCATCTATCTTCAGTTCATTTCAGTGTTTTTTTTACTTTTAAATTGCCTTTGGCCACCAAACTAGAACGCCGAAGTTTTAGGTTGTAGTTGAGAGTTGAGGTTTTAGGTATCTTGACACAACAAAGATTATACATGGCCAAATAACAATAGCTTGTGGAAAATTGCACTACTGATAAAAAATAATATACATAGGTGAAATGATTCTGATATATGTCATTTTCATTTCATTAGTTTAACCAAATATAGATCATCAATAAAAAATAATTTGTGTACCAAACATCTTCATGGAGTTCCGGTGGACTCCAAAGTACAAGGGAGGATAGCTGATCGAATTCAAAGGTGAGAGTCGTTTCGGATTTGGGTTCAGGAGTGTTGGAGCCTGAAGAATGTATTTCCAGCCTCAATAGACATATACCTCCCACAACTTGGTGATCTTTAAATAAAACTAAAAGTATCTAAAGAATTGAAGATGGGATTTTCAAGAATAAAAGGATAAAAACAAAGTTATTGCTGAAATTTTGGCCAATATTTCCTTCTACCATACAACTTTAGCTTGGGAAGGAGAGAACAAATATAGTGATAATGAGCTCATACTGAACATCTCTATGTCACTCATTTTACAACACACAGATGCAACCAATGATTTCCTTATTGAAAGGTCATGCAGCATCCCCTGACTTACCATCTCTTCTAACCACATCACAGCTTCATATTGCCTACCTATTAAGCAAAGCCCCTTTATAAGTCCATTATAAGTTTCGGCACCCGGCCGATGTGATTTGATCAGAATCTCCTCCAAAACCCGACTTGCTTTGACATATTTACCATCTTTGCACAACCCATTAACCAAAATGCTATAACTTTCTTTGTTGGCTACACAACCAACCTGCTTGGTCATTTTCTTCAAGTATCCAACGGCTAACACCGAATCCCCCGCATCACAAAGACATTTCAATATGGTGTTATACAATCTGACACTCGGAACACAAGTTCCTTCCTTGATATCCTCTTCGATTACTTTGATTACTTCACAAACTCTCCCTTTCTTGCTCAAAGCTTCTGCCTTTGCTTCGTACATTGGCAATGATGGGAAGAACCCTCTCTTATGCATTTAATCGAGCTCTTTATCACCCTTATCGACCCTACCTTCGTTATATAAACCAATGGCCATAGCACTATAGCTACCCATACTAGGAATTCCACCTCTTACTAAAGCTTCATTAATCAAGCGTTTAGTAGCTTATGTATCTTCCCCATCTCTGCATTTACATAAATTGAGTCGTTGTCGACAACTCTTTGGAGCCTTTAAACCCTTCCTCAAAACCTTCCCAAGGATTTCTAAAGCTTCTTTAACTTTCCCGTCATCGCATAAAGCATCCAATAAAATCCGATAAATCACAATATCTTCACCACTACCCTTTTGGGAGATCATCCAAAACATTGAATATAACAAATGAACATCTAACCTCCCATCATCACATAAACCCTTCATTAAAATTCTGTAACTTTCTCTATCAGGGTAACAACCTTGAAAATCCATTTCCGGGAAAATATTAAAGGCGAAATCGATTTTTTGAATCGACAAAGCCCTTCCATTAACAAATTCAATGATTTCACCCTGGATTTCACTTCCAACCTCCAACAATTATCCGAGAAGAGCTGATAAGCAGCTTTGAAATCAGACTCTTTCAGCACTGTCCCCAAAATGGTATTAAATGATTCAGTAAAGTTCACGCAATTGAATTGAGGAATGGTGTTAAAGAGATTCAAAGCCTCATTTACCATCCCAGCACTTGCAAAAGTTCTGATTGCAGCAACAAAAACTGAATCTTTGCACTCACAGAAATCGTTTTTCATTTGATGGATCACTTGTTTCATCTCTAGAATTCGGCCGGAGTTGCCCAGAATGTTGATCATGGTGGCATAAACGGGACAATTGTGACGATAGTTGGGGTATTTTTGATGGGCTTGGTTGAAGATTTGGAGCGCGGTTAAAGGGTTCTTTTGGGTTGATATAATCTGAGAGAGATGAGTTGGGGTTAAAACTCTCGGCCGTCTGATTCCCATCGCCAGCACAACTATCTTCAACCTTGTTTTTTGCAGTTCAATGCTTGCAATTTGAGTTTTTTTATATATCAGTGAGACATTTAATCAAACAGCTGAAGGGCATGCCGTGATTTCATTTGATTTCAACTCAGCGTGACGAGCTCGCCCTATTCCGGCCGGAGCTTCAAAGATCGGAGAACCTTGGTGTGGGTGTGGTGGTTGGCAGACCTCAAAATCAATCAGATTTCAAAGAAAGAGTAACTTCGTGCTTTCAAAATTGAACCAAAATGAATCTAAATTCAAACATTGGGCAAAATTTGATATCCACACTTCTAGATAAAAGTGTGAACATTTAAAATACTGGTGACATGAAAGAAAGAAATAATGTTATTTTACATTAATCAATAGATGAAAAATAATAGGGTATATTACTCTAAGGTCACTAAATCATGGGTAGGTTCTATTTTAACTAAAACACCAGATAAGTAACATAAATAGGAATTTAGGAAAATAAATATCTTGCATTTAAACAACTACACATTGGAATCATTGAAGTATGCGGAAGTTATATGTCTCGACAAACTCAGTTACTGGCGATGTTAGTCGCAGTATGAATAATTCAGAAGTATGTTGTTTTTTAGAAGACAACTATGTCTATGATGGTGGTTTGGTTTTTATGCTCTTACATTTGTTCCCAAATGCTGACTTGAAGATAAGCTTGGTATTGGTACAAACTTTTGGCCCATCTAATCTAATTGGTTGGCATTTTTTCCAAACATTTTAGGCAACCGTTAAGCAACGCTTAATTTTTTGTGCATATGTTTGTCGTTTATCCTCTTAGAAGTTGTACTAGGTTTCTGAAAATTCTTAAAATTGAGATTTCAGCTGCGTATTACTATCTCCCGGATTAAAACATTCCGACATGCATGGTTTCTGATCAGAGAGTTAACATTGTCCTAACACCAAAGGTATCAATTTTTGAAACATTTGTGTGCATATACCGGTGTTTGAAACTACATGGAAGTTACCTCCGTTCTAGTAATAAGAATTCGAGTATCAAGATGTCTTTACCCTAACCAAAAAAAAAATGCAACTTCAAGGCTTACATAGATGCCTCAACTCAATTTCCATCATTTCATTGTTTTTTAATTTTTACTGTGTTCCATTACCACTGTCGTATTCTTCAGCACCGACCATCGGTGTTAGGTTCCCAAAGTGATTCATCGGCAGATTCAACATTCTGGATGAGGTTAGCAATGTATCAATTTTAATTTTTAAATGTATTAAAGAAGGAAAAAGCGGCGGATTATCATACAAAATCGAGCATTTATTAGCCCATGATCGAAGCAAAATGTTCAAACTAACATTGGACGAGGGCTGCGCGAACGCAAGCCCCCACTGCCACAAATTATGATGTAGGCTCTCCCACATGTGGAGACCTTAGGCGAGCACCTCTCCCAAGTGCAGTGGAGATCACTGACCTAGGTCATGGGCCTTATTGATCTCCCATAGACCCCATCCAGGTAAGTATGTTTAAATGGAGCTATGTGCCTCTTATTTATTAACTCCAGCTCCTGGTCCCTCCTATTTCTCACTTGATATGGGATTGAGCTTCATCCTGATTCTCCACTTCCCAACGACTATAATTTTATTCCTTCTTTATTTCTTTTTATCTCACTAATTAAAAATGGCTGCAAATCATACATTTATCATCTTTCGATTCATCATAATCTAAGTGAGACATTAGAGTTTACAAAAGCTTTCATCAATGGTATTGGGGGCTTTTGTAACAAAGTGTGCTGGCTCAATTACCATCGAAATAATCAAGCTCCGCTTAACTTGAAAATGAATGGTTATAGAATGTTGAGAATTTGGACAAATTGTTTTCAATATTTTCTTGCTTTTCGCAGTGAACCAGTTCAATATTTAGCATCTCAGCTCGGTTCATCCATTTTGCTTCAAAAAACATGCGTTGAAAAATACTGTCTTTCTTTGATAAAATTGCAAGCTTAATATTTAGCAGTCTATTTCCTAAACTTGACTCGCTGGAGCTCTCTCATCTTCCCAAAATAAAAAGATTTTGCCATGGAATTGGATATTGTATGCATGGACAACTTGGAAAGGCTATGGCCCAACCAACTTGTTCAGTAATCCTTTTCCAAACTAACTTCCATTATGTTGATGGGTTGTCCTAAGCTATTGAATGTTTTCGGTTGAGTATGTTGATTGTACATCACTGGAATATATAATATTTGAGTCCCTACCCCAAGAAGAAGGCAACAGCAGACAGCAGTATACATTTATTTTCTCCACAATTCAGTCAATCGGATGTTATTTCATTCCAACTTCCACGTATGACATCCTTAACTCTTATAAGACTGCCAAATCTAAGGGTATCCATCAGAAAATGCTTAATATAAATTGGACTTCGTTGAAGAAGATAAGAGTGGGTGAATGTCAACAACCCCTGTTTTGAGTGAACAAGGTATATTCATCCTAATTCCTACACTGTTTATTACTGCATGTCCTCGTTATTGTTGTTAATAAATAAATGGGAATTGTGCAGTTTACGTTTCCAAAGCTGCATGAATTGGCTTTGGGATGGAATTATAGAATGAAGGAGATATGGCATTGTCATGGTCAACAATTTGTATCTCACTGCTTTCCCAACCTGAAAGATGTCAGTGTTCAGTTTTATCCTAGGCAAGTAACTGTGTTTCCATCTTACTTGTTCCCCTTGTTATTCTTACCCAATCTTCAAACGCTCGAAATATGGCACTGTGACTTTAAAGAGATGATATTCCAAAGTGAACAAGGTGGTGAGGAAATGTCTGCAATGGGTGTTACTCTCTCTTGTAACTGAATTAAGGCTGCGAGATCTTGATGAATTGATGCATCTATGGAAGGGAAAGGAAGGATTCCAGAACCTAAGGATTTTGGTTGTGGAGTCTTGTCCCAAATTAATCAATCTGGTTCCATCCTCGGTATCTTTCCGAAATCTGGTGACTTTGAAAGTAGAGAAATGTCATGGAATCATTAAATTAGTTACGCATTCCACAGCCAAAAGTCTAGTGCAGCTCAGAGAAATGAGTATAGAAAATTGCAGAAATATAGAAGAAATAATACAAGGAGGGGATGATGATGAAAATGATGTATATCTACCAAAGCTGGAGAGCTTCTGCTCATCAGGGACTTATAACTTCGGGTTCCCATCCTTACAAACTGTACGTGTGGAAGGTTGCCCAAAGATGAAGATGTTCTCTCAAGGACACTCAAACACCCCAATGTTGCATGAAGTAGTACCATATTAGGGGGCAAATGAAGGGCATTGGGAAGACAGCCTTAATCGCACAATACAACTCTTCTGAGAAAAAGATATATTTATATTTTTCTAAATTTAATTTCCTTATTATTTACTAGTATTTTACAAACTGGTTTGCAAGGGGAGGAATGACTTCTTAAGATTTTATTGAACGGATTAATTGAGGAGGATGTAATTACATGTATCATCTAGAATTTAGACAAACGTTCATTATTCTAATTAAATTCAAGTTGTTGGCTATGGGTGTACATGATAACCTAGAAACTTACATTTAAATTTTGTTTTTATCTACTGATCATTCCAGAATGACATGGGAAGAAGAATATGAAAACTCTGGAGAATATCAAAAGCATATCCTTCAACTTCTAATACCCAAGTAACCCTAAATTCCTTCTAATTAATTGTTCTTCTCTTCTCTTTCATGACTAATATTAATATTTTAAGATAATGAATGTATGCAGAATCTCTTACAGGAATTTTCAAATTTCATCAGAGATGAAAACAAATTTTCAACTTTTAACTTCCAATGACTTGAACCAAGTAAGCTCATAAAAATACATGTAATGCAAATGGTATTTCTTACCTTCAATAAGATAGTTTCATATGCTATACTTATTCTGAATTGAAGGGTAAGATGACTTTTGAAATGGTGGATTTCAAGGATTGTGAAATTGACGATCTCAAAAATACTAAAGAAGATTAAGGTGATCCTTATAAACTTCTTACTGTTTGAGTTAACTCTGTCTTCTACTTGTATGGGAAAAAATAGCCCTTACATCTTCATTTTGGCTCAAATATTTCAGGCCTTGAAAGTTCCTTTCATAGAAGCAGTCATTGGTGACTGTTTTTTGTCTCAATATATCTAACAGTGACTCTTCAAAGAGTTGTAACTATTTTTTTATTACCCCTTACTTTTAGTTGTATCACCTAATGTAATGTTTGGTTTGTTTTGATGAAGTATGATGATTTAGAAGTTATCCATTTCTTATTTCTAAGTTTTGACTGTTAATTTGCTGTAGGACATTAATGAAACTGGTAGAGATGATTAACTTAGCCTAAAGTTTGACAGTCATATGCAGTGATGAGTTGCTTGGATCCCCTTTTTCTGCCTTGATTAAAAATTTGTTGGCTTGCGAAGAACGAATAGTTTGAAGGTAAAAATATGGATTGTTAAAAGTTGATCCCTTCACCAGCTTAAAGCTTTTGACGATGGGATTGTTTTATATTAGCCAATTGTTATACGAAAAAAATATTGCATCTAAAAGAATGATAAAACTACATATTCATTAACAATTCAATTCAGTTCCAAAATCCCCCTCAATTATTCAACATTTTGCAACAAATTCCCCAGAAATCTCTACCTATATAAAATCACTTGGTCATGACCTCGACACCAGTTTTCCCAGCAATGATAACAGAGGTAGCCATCCCCAGAAACAACCCATGTTCCACCACACCTTCCAAGGCAGAGATCTCTTTCCCAGCTCCAAACCCATCTTTAATCGGATTCTGGAAATACAAATCCACAATGTAGTTCCCATTATCAGTCACATAAGGTTTTTCACTTCCATCTAACCTCAAATTTGCTTCACAACCCAGCTCTTTAAACAGCCCTTGGAGTCTAACCAGATTGTATTTCCAGCAGAACTGCACGACTTCAACCGGCATGGCTAAACCGCTCCCTCCGAGCCCCGAAACAAGCTTGCTATCGTCGGCCACGACGATGAACGAAGACGAAGCCGCTTCGACCATTTTCTCACGCAAAAGTGCGCCTCCTCGGCCTTTAACCAGGTCGAGGTTGGGGTCGACTTCGTCGGCGCCGTCGATGGCGAGGTCGATGTGTGGATGAGAGTCGAGGGTCGATAAGGGGATGTTGAGCGACGCGGCTTGTTCTTGTGTTCTTTTCGAGGTTGGGATTCCTATGATGTTGGAGAGTTGGCCCGTGGAAAGGAGTTGGCCTAGTTTGTCGACCACGAAAGCCGCCGTCGAGCCTGTTCCGAGGCCAAGGATCATGCCGGACTTGACTGACTCGACTGCCTTGTCGGCCGCCAGTTTCTTGAGTTCATCTTGGGAAAGCACCGGGGCGGCTTGGGACTTAACGGAGAATGGTTTATAGGTTGGGGTGCGTAGGTTAACAGGGGTGCGGTGCAGGATAAGAGGGTTGGTGAAGGTCTGGTGGTGGGATAAGGAAGCCATTTTTGCCTTTTTTTCTGGTGAATTGAAAGGAAAAGACTCAAAAGAATGAAAATGGGGCTTTTGGAATTTGGATTGTTTGTGGTCAGTGGCTGTTGTATTGCTCTGATCTTCGGTGTTTGGTGAAAAAAGGTTGAAGCTTGAAGGATAAGGGAAAAGGGGTTGATGAGATTTGGTTGGTTTACTTTGTTAAATGAATTCTATTGGGTAAATTAAAGTATGACTAAATTGATTAAATATATAAATATTGAGAACTAAATATATAATTATATCAAATATCTTAATTCACACGTCACATATTCTTTGTTAAAAGTTAATTGTCGATAGCTTAATGGTTAAGTGATCTGATTGATAAAATTAAAATATCAGTGATCAAAATAAAATGGGATAATAGTTAAATGGTCTCTCATGTCGTTTACTCAATTTGTTTTTTTGTTGGTGGGGAGTTCCTCTTGGCTTGGGCTTTGGCCGGGCTTGGGAATTTGGGTTGGATATCTATACTGAATATGTTTCAATAAAAGAGCCTTCTTTCTTCTCTAAAATTCTCCCTTGAATATAAAGGTCTCGTCTCCAACTTTCTCTCCAATTATTTTCTTTGGTACTTCTTTTTCTTTGAAAAGGCAGTTTTTATATCAGCACTCTCATTAACCTCTTAGACCAATGGCAACCGCTGAATCAGCTTCTGCAATTCAAAGAAACCAAGTGAGTGTTCCAATCTTGGAAGTTTCTGCCTTTCTGGATACCCTTTGTTTGGTTTCTGAGAAAACTTGAGAAAATTGGGGGGAAAGCAAGGAATCTTGGCAACTGATTATCGTTTGGATGGTTTTCCTTTTTCTTAGCTTGAAAAGATCCGTTTGTTACTATGTATCATGAAACTTTTCATCACAGATTTTTTTGGTGTAACTGTAAGAAATATTCTTTGAAACCTTGATTGTGATTTTTTTTTATGATTAGGTTGATCTCTTGGACTTCATTGATTGGTCTGGAGTTGAATGCCTTAACCAAAGCTCTGGTCACCTTCTGGCCAATGCTCTCAAGCAGGTAACTCTCTTCTAGAAATTCTTGTTTGCTATTGAATTATTTAGGCAGATTTTTGTACTTTTTTGCTGGAAAATTCATGGTTTTACTTCACTATTTTAGGGTTTACTTTATATTTCAATGTATTTATCTTGTCAAACTTCGTGGGATTATGAAATAATTAAGTTTGATGGTCATAAATTAGGGTTATAGAGAAGATGAAGGATTGAATCTAGAGAGTGATGCAGACGAACAGCTTTTGATATATATCCCTTTCACTCAAGTCGTTAAACTACATTCCATTGTTGTTAAGGGATCCGAAGAGGAAGGTAATGTATCTTTCAACTTGTACATTTATGCATCTGAATATCTTAACCATGAATTTGATCTCATTGAACCCAAGTTCTATGGCTTATGACGAGTTCTCAAATTGTGCCCTACAAACTTTTCTTCAGAGGTTGTTGATTGTTGTATAGTATTTAACCATTAAGATTGTCTTTTGCAGGACCTAAGACGGTGAAACTTTTTACAAACAGGCAGCATATGGGGTTTAGGTAATTTCAAGGAATTATCACATTTTCCGAATCGGTTTATTATGCTTAAGAACATTTCATTGATGATATTGCACTGTACTTAATGCAGCAACGTCAATGACTTCCCTCCAAGTGACACTGTCGTTTTATCGCCAGATAATCTTAAGGTAGCTCTTTTTCTGGCCGTCTTTCCATTCTCAGGAGCTACAATGTAGTAAGGGTATTTTAAGAAATCGTCGTGAATCGAGAAACCTTATAACATTCTCTCTCTTTTTTTGAAGGGAAAACCGGTAGTCGTGAAGTACGTCAAGTTTCAGAATGTCCGTAGGTATGTTTATAGTTTACACACTAAGTACCGTGTTTAGTCTTTATCTTCATTAAGTAAAATAATGTTAGTTTTACTTTATTATGTTTATCAGCTTGACCATATTTATCGAGGACAATCAGTCGGGTTCTGAAATCACTAAAGTTCAGAAGATCGCTTTGTATGGATCAACGTAAGTTCTTAATAATTACAATCGCTGTTCTCTGCATTTTTTGATGTCATTTTCATCTTTAATGTTGTCGAACTTTGATAAATTCTAGTTTACTAGTTCCTCCTTAGTATCAACATATTGTTCAAGGCATGGACTTATGCTTTAGTCACATTGTCTTTCGTTTGCATGAGGAATAATAGTAATTTGTTTGTATCCTTTCGATTTCCGAAACAATTTGAACCAAGAGCTTTCCTGCATTACCTAAAACTAGTAAAGCAAAGGGAAGCAGATGTAGAATAATTTACAACATATCCTCTCCTTTCTTCTTATTAGCAACTAGTTTTGGATTTTTTTTTTGTCCGAGTTTCTAATCATCTCAAAGCTACGATGTAAGTCCTAAAGAAATGTCCCCCGTCATGTGGTTTCAACCCCTCTATGTTCCCTGATTTATCACAATTGGTTAATGACATAAATTTATTATCGTTGCACAAAATAATGATTGGGTTAGGGTATATTATGTCATTTGCATTTTCTCTCGTTGTTGCAGCGGTAACGAGATCCGACTTACTCATACATATATGTGCGTATACATAATGAGTGTAAAATATGTTGAAATTTTGTTGGTAATTCAGGGTGGAAACGACAGACATGAAGGGGTTGAAGAAGATCGAGGAACATTGACCCTGAATGGAAAATTAAGAACATGGATGAACCCTTATGGCTTTGGGACACTAGTAGCATTTGTTTTCATTTTCTTGTTTTAGTTTTCATCACTAAATTACTTTGATGGAAAAAGAAAAGAATATAAGAGAGCACCCGAACTGTGAAAATACTAAATTATGTGACAGCATCAACACTTTCACATGGAATTGTACATGTTTAAAGTGGATGTGAACTTCTTTGATTGATAACTCCTGCCTTAAAAATTTTGAGTTTGATTCATATTGTTCAAGCATACAATGTTATCTCTTCAAGCTTTTCCAAGGGTAAATATTCATTTTGGTACTTGCACTTATTTTTAAGTTCAATATTTTTCTATCCAATCGAATACCCAAGATATTTTTTTTGGTCCCTTGATTTGACATTGTATGTTTTCCGCTGAAAACGTTTATCAAGCATCTGGGATCTCCGTTCATCCAGAACATGCCAGTTCGATCCTCTGTCGTCACTTCCTTCCACAACCCTGTTAAGATAATGACTAAAACGTTAATCAGATCAAAGATCCGCATGATCCGCATAAAGATTTGTACCTATTAAAGGTAAAACCGCAGTTCAGGGAAAAAACAGAACTTCAAAACTAAAAATGATATTTCACTAAACCTAAATGTTGTACTTAAAGGTAAAGAGAATGCTTAGAGACCTAAGCAGATCATTCCAATTCATTGGATCTCGTTCCGGGGCATCATTGGCAGACATTAACTCATAGGACACAAGTTCCTGCAAGTTGCCCGATAATTTGTACATAATCCAACAACCTACAAGACGAAATTCAAATACTAGGAGATATGATATTTAATGAAAACATATCTGCAGATTAGATGCCTGAGAGCATGCTAGTATTGCATGGCATTAAGCATTAAAACCTCAGGTCATATACAAATAATAACTGCAAGAAACTATGCTCTTTGTTCATAGTACCTTTAGCACCATTAGGTTCCTCCCATTTAGACATGCGAGTTTCATCAAATGCTGATGTGGCCTGAAAATTTTCAGTGGAAATTTTAAGATAATTTCTATAGCACGGGTGAACACTTCATATTCAAATGTTAGATATAGCCATTATTACTTGCAATCCCAAAAGGAAGCTCCTCGCCACTCGCAAGGACTGCTCCAGAACATATTCTATTCAATCTTAGAAGCGGAAAGGTTAGTGAACCTTCACTAAAGTTGTCACATTTGCTAAGATCGCTGATCAGTTCATCCAAAGCGTGCAAGGCAGCAGGCAATGCTAAAGCAGTTGGAACAGAGTCAACGGCTAAGCATACGGTGACAGTGCCATTACTATCCAGTTCACTCTTCAGTGAAAGAGCATTAAAAATTCCTTAAAGGAGGGCAGCAACCGATGCAACAAAGATGTGCCAACAATCAAGTTCGACTTTAAAGAAGCTCTCCTTTTTTTATATGTAATTTCTTGAGATCTACAACGGTTGCTCTAATAACCTTGAGAACTTCAACACCTTTTGATGCAATTACAGATTCGACAAGCTTATGAAGTACAGAAGAAAAAGCATTATGGATTTTTGTGACGTGCTCGTCTCTGCATATGCAAACTTCACAAGCAGATGAACTCAGAGAGTCGGTCCCAAATTCTGATCTGCAATGCGCCATATAATAGCACAACTTCGAATACCCTTTTTCATATAATAGCGGTCTGTCATATATTGCTTCACATGGATCAAGATGCATCCACCTGTACAAAAATGAATGAATAATTAGTTCGTGAAATGGCCACATATTTTAGCCTCTTTGTTACATAGGCATCAACTTCTCCAGTACTCGAACAATTTGTTAGGCAGGCAAAAAGAAAACCAAAAGAAATGCACCAGCCGGGAATCGAACCCGGGTCTGTACCGTGGCTGTATGTTGATAGGATTTAATAAATTATTTTAATTTATAAAACAAATTAGAAAGATTACTTCTCAATTTTCATTAAAGATGAAAGAAATAGCTGCTCCAAAAGAAATTGGACAATTTATGACAAAAATGAACAAATAAAGGACTAATCGTTGATCTGCACATGACAATAAATTATGTTAATAATTTATGTTTACAATATTTAGAGAGAAATACTAATCAAAACCAGATTTTGATTCTATAATTTTTTTTATTGAGTCAATTTATAAATTGGAGAGAATAACTTACATGATCATACAACCCTTCGCTATTGTATCCAGAATTTACTACTAATATGTCCAGTACCAAGTTATGAACTTCTTCTAGTCTTTCAATGGTTTCAATTGTCGGAGAGTCCGATCAATCAAACCTCATTATGTTGCTGCAGACTTTGCATCCATGTTCCTTCAAGTTGAAACCTTGCGCTCCTTTGGTGGTGTATTACCAAAATTCTAGTGGAACTGACTTAAGCTCACCCGCCACCTCATTTATCGGAACCACAACGGAGATTTCTTTCAAATCTTCTTTGGTGAGCTTTACTTTCAGTGAATCGTTGTTACTGTCAAGACTCGATTTCGTTGTTACTGTCAAGACTCGATTTTGTCCAAGTCCTCTGCTTGAAACCTTGGGAAATGTGGCTTCAAAGTAAAAGTTGGCAATCAATTTAGTATGCAAAGGTTCGAGGACAGGTTAAAGACAAATAAGTTAGTTTCCCATACCAGAAAACTATTTGCAGGCAAGGTTTCCACCACTCCTTTTCCACTAAAGAAACCGCGACCGAGGGGCTATATGGAACAATCCCAGTTCCAAGTTGCCTGCATAAACGAACACATTTAGATTGGCATTCACAAATTAATTTAGACCACTGGTGCTTTTTTGATGAAATTAATTTAACATATTTTATATTTCCTGTTTGATATATATGTTAACAATTTAGATTTAGTATTTAGATGAAAGAAAAGAGACTAATTTACATTGCTAGTCACTCAAGTTAATATCCGTTTGTATAATGTTCATAAAACGTTAATTTAATTTCAATTTTCATGTGAATAACAAAATTTTAATTGATCGAATTACAACTTTAAATATTATATTATGAATAAGTTATGTCATTTAAATCGACTATATTAAATAATTATAATATAAAAACTATCATGCTTAAATAAAATTGAAAAAAAGCTTCAAAGGTTCCTATATTTTTGGAGAAAAAAATTAATGTGACCATCGTATTATTTTTCTTTCAATGTGACCCTCCAATTGAAAAAAAAAAATCAATATGACCTTTTGATCAACGATTTTCATCGTTGACTGTTATGATGTTGAAGTAGCATTTCAAGGTGCTGATGTAATAATCCATGGTGCTGACATGGCAATTCATGGTGGTTGATAACGTGACAAATGACATGACAGATAGACTACCACGTCAGCACTATAGACCGCAATGTCAGTATCGTGAACCGTCACATTAGCATTATACGGTCAATGATGAAAAACGTTGGTCAAAAAGATAACATTGAGTTTGTTTTATGAGTTGGAGAGTCTCATTGAGAGAAAAAATAATACGAATACCGCATTAGTTTTTTTTCCAAAAGTGTTGGAATCTCCAATGCCTTTTTGCCAACAAAATTTACGTAATTGTTAACCATGAGATCAGAGATGCGTAATGACCCTACCATCACAAGAGCACAGTTATACTCATGGTTGCATCATATGGGAATCAAACCCAGTCTGTACCTTGGCAAGGTACTATTCAATCACTAAATGATCGATGCTTTCTCGGACATATGTTTTAATAAAAGTTATATGTTTGATTAAAGTGTTATTTTCCTTTTTCGTTTTAATAAAAGTTTTTTTTTTTCCATTTTCCTTTTCACTTTATTTTACTTAGCTAATTTCTTTATACCTGAGATCTAGTAATGAATCAATTTTATGCGTGAGAATTGAACATCACTTAATTTCCTTCGGGATATATTCTCATTTTTATGGTTTATTAGTTTGGCAATCAGTCTTACTTATAAATTTTAAACACTTTTAAATAAAAAAGAGTTGTTGGTCTGGATTTGTTTAAATATATAGTTGGGAGGAAGGATCGACTTCTAGTGAACAATGTTGTGTGTTGTGTGTGCTTAATATTAAACGCAAATGATGTGCAAGTATACACAATCACACAAGTGATGAGTGAGTATCGTATCCACAAGGATTGGTGGAAATTTATAAGTTTAGTCAAAGCAAATAACAACTTTATCTAAGTATAGTTAAGATGATAATATATACAAATGATTATGCCTAGCAAATGAAATGTTTAAGAGTGGAATTAGAATGGTGGTACGATGGGTAGCAAATGGAAATGTCATGGCAAAGGAAATGTTTATAGTTTGAATAGGTGAAAATGTCAAGGCAATGCAGAATGGTAAATACGCAGAATAAATTAAATAACTTGATAATCCTCAAACAGGAAGCTTCTACAGGAATAAATGGTGGGAAATCACTTAGGAAACTTAAAACTTATCTCTTAAGCTGATTTAGTCTTCTAGTGTCTTACTTGTTCGATGGAGTTTACTAAATATGTTCTATGATATCTCTAGTCTAAGAACCTAACAGAATAGGATGCAACGACATCTCTTCTCGACCTGAGCAGTGACACAATAAACCATTGATTACGCTTTACCCCTCTTAGTCATTGAAATCATAGCTTAGTTTCTCTCGAATACTAAGGTATTAGGTTATAGTAATTAACTACAACCCATTGTTTATGTTAATCTTACTTTAGTTTCTCTCGAAAACTAAAGAATTAATTATTATGTTTCTCTCGAACATCTAGTCTTCTACTTAAGAAATGGACACTCTTATGCCTTCTACAATATTAAGAGATAAAACACTCATAAGAAAAACAAGTAATAAGCAAAAGAGAACATTAATCAACCATTCAAAACAAAGCTTAAAGCATCCATCAATGAACTACATCAAATATAGTCTAGTTCATGGTGGGGTTAGAATAAACCATGGAAAGTCCCAATTTGTTCATTCGTTCCTTGCAAGCCAATCGAAGATCAATCATAAAATGGAGCAATGGTTGGAGAAGAAAACAATAGATGGGCACGACCGATACTTCTTTCGAACCACCACGAACGACCACAACGCCTCACCCCTCTCGGATGCAAGCTTCACTCCCTCGAGCTTCACTAATGGAGGAACGCCACTAAAAACGGACGAGAAAAGGGAAGAAGTTGAGCTCGTCAATTGAGGAAGAGAGAGTTGGAGATGATGATGAATTTTGATCCCCTTTTCTAAAATGATGTCATTTTCTTTATAAATATAAGGAATGTACTTGGGGATTTT